AGCAGCAGCAGCAGCAGCAGCAGCAGCAGCAGCAGCAGCAGCAGCAGCAGCAGCAGCAGCAGCAGCAGCAGCAGCAGACTCACAGCAGCAGCACAGCAGCAGCAGCAGCAGCAGCAGACTCACAGCAGCAGCACAGCAGCAGCAGCAGCGCGTCCTCCTCTTCCGCAGCGAACTGTCCGCCGCGGCAAAGGGGCAGCAGCAGCAGCAAAAGGCGATCAGCAGCAGCAGCAGCAGCAGCAGCAAAAGGCGATCCGCAGCAGCAGCAGCAGCAGGAGCAGGAGGCGCACCTGGGTGTGGCGGTTCGTTAGGTGTGGACTTCCCCTTGTTGCTCCTCTGCTGCCTGCTGCTGCTGCTGCTGCTGCTGCTGCTGCTGCTGCTGCTGCTGCTGCTGCTGCTGCTGGTTTCCGGGGGAGACTCTTTGAAGGCGAGGCGTTTCTGGGCGGGGTCGAGGGCCCGGACAGCGATTGTGTCTCCGATGCGGTGCAGCAGCAAGTTTGCTGCCAGCAAATGTGCTGCTGCAGCAGGGTTTTGGTGCAGCACGGCGAGCTCCGTCAGCAGCAAAGGGGACAGCAGCGGCGGCAGCGGCGCAAAGAGACTTGTGGGGTTGACCAGCAAGTCCAGCGGCACCGGCAGCAGCAGCTGCAGCAGCTTGCTGCGCGGCAGCACGAGGGACTGCAGCATGAAAAGCCACTGGCCGGAGAAGCCGTTGAGGAGTCCGCTGAGTTGCTGCTGCTCCCTGCGCTGCTGCAGCAGCGCCTCGCGCTCCGCCGCGCCCTGCTGCTGCTGCTGCTGCTGCTGCGCTGCTGCTGCTGCAGCAGGCAGCAGCCCCACTGCAGCAGCCATCCACGGGTCGTCCAGAGGACTCAGTCCCAAAGTAGCAGCAAGAAGTTCTCCCCTTCTTTGCTTCACAAGTGGAGGAGTTCTTGCGAGAACAACTCTGCGGCCTCCCTTATAGTAGTAGTCCACTTCTTGTTTTGCTGCTGCTGCTGCTGCTGCTGCTGCTGCGGGGGGGGCCGCGCCGCCCGCCCCTGCTGCTGCTGCTGCTGCTGCTGCTGCTGCTGCGGGCTTCGTCGGCGTCCCCACTGGCCCGCACAAACCCTCCTCTTCCTCCACGCGAGCAGCAGCAGCAAGCAGCGCAACTCCTGCTGCTGCTGCTGCGCGACGCTTCCGGCCGCCTGCTGCTGCTGCTGCTGCTGCTGCTGCTGCTGCTGCTTCCCCGCGAGAACGCTTCCGCTGCGCCGCCTCCTCCTCCTCCCGCTGATACGCGTCCCAGTCCCACCCTGCGCTCAAACCCTAAACCCTAAACCCTAAACCCTAAACCCTAAACCCTAAACCCTAAACCCTAACCCTAAACCCTAAACCCTAAAGCCGAGGCACACAGAGCCTCTCTAAACCCTAAACCCTCGAGCCCAGACCCAAACCGCCAGTCCGCCCTTCTCCAGAGCCAAACCCGCCCTAAACCCTAAACCCTAAACCCTAAACCCTAAACCCTGGGCATGCCTGGAGGCATAGTGGTGTAACTTTGAATTATTGTGTCTGCCGAGACCTGAAGAAACCAAACAAAAAACACAAAATCAGCAGCAGCTTCAACAGCAGCAGCAGCAGCAGCAGCAGCAGCGGCAGCAGCAGCAGCAATTTACAAAACGAAAAGAAAACAACAAAGCAACGGGGAATGAAGAAGCAAAAAGTTCGTAGAGGGAAACAATCTAATAAACAAAAATAAATAAAAAGAGAAAATTAAATAAACAAAAACAGATTAAAAATAAAATTAAATAAATAAAATAAAAAATAAAAGGAGACAAATAAATAAAAAAGATGAGAGCAAACCAAGAAAATACCTAAAGACGCAATTAAAAAATAAAAGATAGTTAAAAGATAATTAAAAGATAATTAAAAGATAATTGAAATACAAACAAAAAAAATAAAAATCAAAAGATAATAAAGGATATTAAAATGAAACAAAAAAGATAAAAGATAAAAGATAATTAAAATACAGACAAAAAATTTAAAATAAATAAAAGATACTAAAAGATATTAAAAAGAAACAAAAAGATAAATAAAAGATAAATAAAAGACAAATAAAACACAAATAAAAGATAAATAAACGATAAATAAAAGATAAACAAAGAGATAAATAAAGGACAAATACAAGACGAATAAAAAACAAATAAAAACAAATAAAAGACAAATAAAAAGCAAACAAAAGACGAATAAAAGACGATTAAAAGATAGATAAAAGATAAGCAAAAGATAAGCAAAAGATAAACAAAAGGAGAATTAAAAGATAAACAAAAAGTAATTTAAAATTAAAAATAAAATAAAAGACAAATAAAAGGAAAAAGACAAACAAAGACCAACCAAAAGTCCCAAAAAGGGTCCAAAAAAGTCCGAAAAAAGCCGAAAAAAAGAAAACAAAAAGCAAAATAAAAAGGAACTAAAGAGGAAATAAAAGGGAATCAAAAAGGAATTAAAAAGGACTTAAAAAGGAGTTGAAAAGGAGACAAAAGCAGTTCAAAAGGCGGGAAAAAAAGCTCCAAAAAAACCAAAAAAGTAAATTCTCACTGAGAAAAGATGCTTCACAATGTTGCGCGTCGGCTTTATGTGCTCTCTGGCCAAAGTGTCCAGCAGCTGATTTTCCAAAGCCTCTGGACAGGCGTGCTTCATGTCTGCATGCAAAATCCCAAACTTGCTGCTGCTGCTGCTGCTGCTGCTGCTGCTGCTGCTGCTGCTGCTGCTGCTGCTGCTGCTGTGGGGGTGGAGGGGAGGGCGGGTGCGCGCTGCTGCGCGAGCGGCAGCGAAGGACACAGCAGCAGCAGCAAACGCGGCAGCAGCAACTACTAGTGCTGCAGCAGCAAAACAGCAGCAGCAGCAGCAGCAGCAGCAGCAGCAGCAGCAGCAGCAGCAGACCCTTGTATTTTTCTCGGAGTTGAAGTATCTTCTTGGCCCTTGCCAAAGCATTTAAAGCTTTTAAAGAATAACCTGCAGCTTTTTCCAAACGCGCCTGCTGAGCTCCCGCGGGAAAGGGCTGCACACAAACCCTAAACCCTAAACCCTAAACCCTAAACCCTAAACCCTAATCTGCACGCCCTTAACCGTACGCCCTTAGCCCTAAATACTAAGCTCTACAGGATTAACTCTAAAGTGTAAACCCTAAAATCTGAACCCCAAGTACTAAACCCTAAACCCTAAACCCTAAACCCTAAACCCTAAACCCTACGCTTGCAGCGCACAGAGACAAAAATAAGTTGAAAGACAGAAAATAAGAAAACAAGAAAATAAAATAAATAAATGAAAAAAAACAAATAAGTAAATAAATAAATAAATAGATAAACAGCAAATAAATTAATAATAAAAAGACAAATAAATAGATGAGCAAAAGGACAAATACATAAATGGATAAGTAAAAGCATATTACAAAATAAAAGACAAATAAATAAAAAAAGGAAAACAAAAACAAATAAATGAAAGGAAAAAGGAAAAATAAATAAATAAATAAATAAAAAGAATAGAAGAATAAAAACAAACAGAAAAATAAAAAGACGAACAAAAGTGTTTCCAAAACATTTTTAACTTTTTAAAAATATTTTTGAAAACATTTTAAAAAGCATTTTCAAATTTCTTTGAAATACTTTCAAAACTATTCTTAAAAGTATTTTAAAAGTACTTTTAAAAGTGTCTTTTGAAACAGCTTTTAAAATACTTTAAGACAATTTTAAAAAGCATTTCAAAACTATTTTAAAAATATTTTTTAAATATTTTTAAAAGTCCTCAAAAATATCGCCAGAAGTAACCTTTTTAATATTTAAAAATGTCTTCATTTATTTCTCTTTCATTCCTTTTGTATTTCTTTATTTCTTTTCTAATTTCTTTATATTTTTTTATTTTTCTTGTTCTGTTTAACTCATCTTCTTTATTTTCTTTTATTTATCTCCAAATTTGTTTCTTTTATTTCTGTTCATTTTTTTATTTCTTTTCGTTTAATTGTCTTTTATTACTTATTACTTATTTTTTATTTATTTCTGCTTCTAAGTATATTCATTTGTTTCCCTTCTCATTTATTTATCTTTATTTAATTACCTTTTATCATTTCTCTTTTGATTAAATGTTTATTATTAATTTATTTATTTTTTATTTAGTTAGTTAGTTAGTTTATAACTCTCTCAATTCATTTACTATCGAATTTTGTTTATTTCCTAATTTACTTTATTTTGATTAATTTCTGTCTTTATTCATTTTCTAATTTATTTTTGAAATGTGTTTGCGTTTTAATACATTATCTTTTATTTATTTCGTTTTATTTATTTGCTGCTAAATTTGACTTGTGTTTTATAATTTATTTTCAATTCTTTTAATCTTCTAATTAATTTGCGTTTAAACTAGCTTTTAAATTACATTTTGCGTCACTTTTATTTCTTTTTATATCTTTTATTTCTTTTTATTTTTACATCTTCTTTTGTGTCTTTCAACTCTTTCTTTTCTGTTTCTTTTACCAATTTCTTGCATCTCTTTTACCACCTTTCTATTCCTTTTTAATACCCTTTTAATCTCCTTTTATTCCTTTTTTTAAATCTTTTAATTTCTTTTTAAAATCTTTAAAATATCTTTTTTTATCTTTTTAATCTCGACAGACCAGTGGTCTAGTAGTGGTCCAATTGCACAAAGAGTATTTCAAATCCTCCAGACTCATCACCACCACAATATCCGAGGCCCCATGGGCGGCCCTGAGGCCCCCTTCCTGCCACTCCCGCAGCCAAAGCATCTCGGACGCTGGGGGTCATCCGTTCTGCGTCACAAACCCTAAACCCTAAACCCTAAACCCTAAACCCTAAACCCTAGCCCTGGGTGTAGCGGAGAGCTGTGGGGCGCAAACCCTACTTTGGGGTTTTCGAGAGCAGCAGCGGCAGCGGTAGGGCCCCCGCGCGGGAGGGGAGGGCTCCGCGCGGCGTTTAGGGTTTAGGGTTTAGGGTTTAGGGTTTAGGGTTTACTGGCTTCAACCTCGGACTCGAGGTCCCGAATCACCAGCCCCGGCTGGTGCTTCCCCGTCGGCCTAAACCTCCACCAACACAAAAGGCGGTGAGTTGCTTCGCAGGGCCCCACAGGCCCGCTGTACCACTCCGGGTGCTTCTCTGCAGCAGCAGCAGCAGCAGCAGCAGCAGCAGCAGCAGCAGCAGCGGCGGCGGTTGCGGCGGTTGCAGTCGAGCGCCCGCGAGGGCGGCGGCGCAGGCGCCGCAGCGGGAGGCATTCGGGAGCAAGCAAGCAGAGCATGTCTGCAGCAGCAGCAGCAGCAGCAGCAGCAGCAGCAGCAGCAGCAGCAGCAGCAGCAGCA